CCGCCATCATGGGCAAGAAGCACAAGAAGCACAAGTCGGACAAACACCCCTACGAGGGTGCGTGTGGCGAGCGCGGCGCAGGGCCGGGCCCGGCGGGCGGGGGCCCCCGGGGCCTCCGTGTGTGCGCAGAGTACGCGGAGAAGCCGCTGAAGCTGGTGCTCAAGGTGGGCGGCAGCGAGGTGGCGGAGCTGTCCACGGCGCCCGAGGACAAGGCCGAGCACGACAAGCACCGCGACAGGAAGAGGAAGAAGCGGAAGAAGGGCGAGAAGCAGGAGCCCGGCGACGAGAAGGAGAAGAGGAGGAGGAGGGTTAAGGTACGCGGGGACCTCTGCCTTCCTCCCCCCAAAAGAACACCTTTTTTTTTTTTTTTTTTGGTGAAACAGGACGGGAAATCCGTAAGGAGAGCGATCATTGGGTGCTCCTAAGTAAATACATTTCCATGAAGCAGAATGAAGGGTTTACAGCCTGTTAATTAAAATCAAATAATAACATAATACACCCCTGTCCAGGTTCTCCACCTAAGAAACAGGACTCGCGCTCTTTCATGTTAAATGTCGTTTCTAAAAACACACTTACGGCTATGAAGAATGTGGAAAATACAGGCTGGTTAGAGCAGCCTGAGCTAACCTCTGTGGGAGAAATTGACTGGTTGTTTATCTCAGGATAGTTTTTTATCTCAGGGGCTCTGCACTTGCGCCCTGCCTTGTTACCCGAACACCCGGCTTGCTGTTTTGAGGAGACTGGGTTCAGCCCATTTAAACCTAGTGAAATGCATTAGGGTAACAAACAAGTCTGAGTACTTCAATTCCCCAAGAGGTACTAAGCTGCAGAAGTTATTACTATGCATAGATTCAAGGATAGCAATGTTTTGAAGCGTTATGGGTACATTTAATTTGAATTTTCCTGACTCTCTCCTCTTGGTCCTTCTAAAATCTTCGAAATCACCTTAAAGACTTCATTGGTTGTAATGCACTGTACACAAGACAGTGGAGAGTTGTTCCTGTCATGCCATTAGAGGCTGTATTAAAACAAAAAGAGAGAGAGAAGGAAACCCATATATGATACCCAGCTTTATATAGTTGAAGTGCGCTATTGTCCAGCAGATGGAGATAGCACATAAAGAATTTTTTTTTTTTAAAGACTTATGACTTTTTTAAATATGCCGTTGTTCTGAAAAGTCCAAAGAGAGCATTATATACAGTAATAAGGCTGATTTTGCAAGGTCTGTGAATTTCAATGAATAACAATCTTTGTCTTTGTAGGAGGATAAAAAGAAAAGAGAACACCCTGACAGTGAGGGGGAACAAGAGCTGAAATGTCAGACGCCTGTGAGACTGGAATTGCCGCAAGAAAAACCATTAACCAGTACTTTATCAAAGCAGGAAGGTAGAAAGAATTGGAAATTATCTTTGCTAATTCCAGTTTTATAATTAATTTGCCTTTTCTTGATCTTTTTGTAGCAAGTGACTTGACATTTCTTGCCATACTGAAGTTTTCCTCTATCTTATACAAGTGACAGTTGAAATCATGTTACCATATACTTCTTTTGCAGAATGATACCTACTAACTATATAAGTGGGAGTAAAGAGTTAGATCCACTGTATATCCTTTTTTTTAATGCTACTCTATTTTTTATTGCTGATCATCCTTCAATATGCATCGGTTTTGTGTAACTGATTGCTGATATCTTGGAAGTTTAGTATGTCTTGATGTCAGTTATGTTTCCAACCCTTTCTCATAGCACTTTTCCTTTTGGTCTAGAAGTGGAGCAAACACCACTTCAGGAAGCTTTGAATCAACTCATGAGACAGTTGCAGAGGTAAATACTTGCATGTATGTTTTTAGTAGATTTTCAGAGCTATGCAGTGGAAATTGGTAGCGTACCTTGTTAAGAGGAGAGATTGTACAAAGCTTTTCTAAAGCTCTGAGTCCTGTTTGCAAGCCTGGTGAGCTCTGAAGTGCCCAATATTTTACCTACAAGCAGCAACACTGAGAACTGTCAAGCATGCAAATGTCAATATACTCTTCTTATTTTTTCTTAACACGTAGAATATTTTGTAGAGAGGACATATTGAAAAAGAACTTCCTTTGACGGGTTTTTTTGTGCTTGTTCTTGTATGTTCCTATGTAAAATTGAGGTATGCAATTGCTCAGAGAGTCAAAATGCCATTGATAAGCATGATTGCTGACAGGATTATTTTAGAAATTACAGTACAGCTTTAATAATGCAGACCTTTAACTTCTTGGTTTAGACACCTTGTAAACACCTCCAGTTTCAGATTTTAAAAACCATTGAAAATAGTTCATATACTTTATTTGCCAAAAGTATGATTGCTAAATTATATCTTTTTATATCTAAAATTATATCTTAACTTTTTTGACTTTAGTTCACCCATTGTAGCCTTGTTTACTGTAAAAAGCAAGTGCACATATCTTAAACCATTTCCTCTTACATAGTAGTCAAATGTCTTCTCATTAAACCATCTGACTGTGAGTAGGACTTTTAGTAGTCTGTGATTTATGATATTCTTTTTATAATTTTAAGAATTAAAAGTATATAAATGTTTTGTACAATAGTGAGAGATTTTCCTTTGATCTGTCCCACCAAAACAAGCTGATAAAATTTTGTAAGGATGTGTCTTTGTTAAAGAAGCTGCACTTTCGAGGTCTAGGTGGCAGGTGCAGGGAGCTAACCACACACAGTCAAAAGCCCACATGTTTGTGTATTTGCTTTGTGTACCTCTGTGTGCATGTAGAAAAAGCCACAATTGGTTTTAAATCCCATTTGTCAACTGGAAGCCGGTGTGCAGGTATTGCAGAGTATCAGTACTACCTGCTTCTGCAGTGTTCAGCAAAATACTTTTCAATCTTCTCTAGCAGTTTTGTGTCAAAATCCAAAAGTCATAATTAAGTTGCAAGAAAAAAAGGCCTGAATTGTCTAGGGTTTCACCAATGTATCTAGTAACAGCAAAGAATTTTATACTGTATTTGATTTTAACAGTAGCAGAAGTACCCATGAACATCAGTATACATCATACGAACGTAATTAAATTTAGGCCAATTGATATGTCAGTCTGTGCAGTAGTTAATACTTTGGGAAAGTCACTGGAGGTCTTAGAAAAATTTAATGTAAAAATAATAAAATTATATAATCTGAAAGTTAAACATAATTGTAAATATATACAAACATTTTTTCACAACTTTAAGAAGTTTTCCTTTTCAGAGTAAATAAACTAATAAATGAATAACAAATATTCATTTTAGTAACCCTTTTTCCCTTTATTTTCCATTGACTCAAGTAGAATATAAAACATCTGTTCAAAAACCAAAACCTAGAAAGATTATTTTTTTAATCTTCATGGGACTACAGATAGCTATCAAAAATACAGAACTAACTTCTAAAATATGATTGTAGCACTTTTCAGATATATGGGTTTGCATGTGGAATCTTTCAACTTCAGAAGTGAAAGATTGTGCTGACACAAGCTCTCTTTATATTTTTTGATTCCTTTTCAACTTAGTCCTTTCCCTTGTATTTAATTCCAGGCTGAGTTCTTTGTTAAAAATTGAAACATTAAAAAAAAAATCTCTTCATATCTTAACAGAAAGGATCCAAGTTCTTTCTTTTCATTTCCTGTGACTGACTTTATCGCCCCTGGCTATTCCATGATCATTAAAAATCCAATGGATTTTAGTACTATGAAAGAAAAGATCAAGAACAATGGGTACCAGTCCATAGAAGAATTAAAGGTAACTCTTTAAATTTCATTTTGACTACAAAGAGATATTATTAGTTTCTGTGGATAGATTTATTGAAACTTTTATTCAACTTACCTCAACACTGCTATGTTATGAGAATACAAAGTTTCCAAAAGGATCAGCACATCTGCCTGAAAAAGTATTTCTTTTTGACTTTTTTTGTGAGCAAGTAAGTTCTGAATGTGGAGAAGAAAACTCACTTTCAGTTACTGTATATGCGTGTCAAAAAGATGTGGAGGGTGAAAGCTTTTTTTGTTTTTAAGAATTCCTAGTCATGTGTGCTGTAAGTGAAGTGCTGGGACCAAGTACTGTGTGATGATGGCCAGTCATAATGCATGAATTTCTGATCAGTCCCTTGGCTTTTTTTTTTTTTTTCCTTTTGAGGCCTTAACACAGCAGTTGTTACCACTGTGCAGGCTTGGATTAATGTTTATAACACCTCTAGATTATGTATCAAAATATAAGACATGCCATTAAAGGCTTGTTGCCCACAAGCCCATGAGAGCTGCAGAAGGGAACGTTTCATTCTTCCTTCTCTTGCCTCTGTGCTGACTCCTCTGCATGTGTGTGCATGAGTTCTAGTGGATTAGGGGTCCCATTCCTAAGGTTCCTAGAGTTTTTAAAAGGTTCAGCATACAGGGGGTTGGGCTTTGCTCTTGTTTTCTTTAACGGAAATGTTTTCTAGTTCTCTGCACAGCTAAATGAGGAGTGTAAAGCATGTGTAATTACCAGTTTAATTTATTTTACCAGTTTGGGTGTTCTTACTGAGAATTCTGAAACTTTAGAAAATATTCCCTGTTGTTTCAGCTGTATCCGGTTAGCCTGGCAAACAGATCTAGAGAACATCTTTCTCCCTGCTTTCTGGTTTTTCAACCTTCCACAAACATCAGCACTTATTTTTACTGGAAGGTGCTTGTGCTGAAAGCTGGTTTTCATTTTAACTTTTGTGATAAAGCAGGCCTGTAAAGATCTGTAATATGTTTCCAGATTATATTAGTTACTGAAGAAATGAACTTCATATAGGTATACTTGTTTTTTTTTCTTAATTTTAACTAAAACTTTGAAAGATTCTCTGTAATGACTTTGAATTGCACCTTTTCATTGTATAAATTTATCTTCATTTTCTTTTTCCTCATAACTTTCAAGTACTAATTTCATAAAACTGGCACTTAGTGAAGTGAATAGAAGTGCCTAAATGTTGTCTTGTACTTGCTGGAGGTACAAAAAAGCAAATAACTGATTAGGCAAGGATAACTGGCTCATGACTAAGCCTCATGGTTTCATCAGGTTTTTATTTTGGCAAAGCTTAGTCAATATGTAAACATTGCTCTTCCGTCTAAGTGACTGGAGAGAGTAATGGGGAAAAATTGGGTTGCTTCACTTTGTTTTCCTTTAGTTGCTGACTTGTGGGGGAAGGTTATAACTTTAGCTAAAAGAGCTTGTATCAATGCTTTTAAAGCTAGGAAGAGCACAAACATTTAGGAATGTTTTGAGGTTGTTTATTGGAGTGCTAGTTTTGAGACTTAAGAGTCTAAGCTACATGCTTATTTCTGAAGGCTTCATTTGCTATTGTTTAAAGACATTTCTTAAATTTATTAAGTAGAAATGTTATTTGAAGTTATATTTAACTATTGCTCAAGATACTGTTAATATTGCATTTAGGACTTTAATATAATATATTACAAAGTCTTAACTTTCATTATGAAATCAATGTGTCTGTACAGGATAACTTCAAATTGATGTGCACTAATGCAATGATTTACAACAAGCCAGACACCATTTACTACAAAGCTGCAAAGAAACTACTGCACTCAGGGATGAAGATACTCAGCCAGGTAATAGAAAATTACAGAACAAAGCATTAAAAAGTATGCTTCTTGCCTTCTCATGGCTTTGCATTCTATTTTTTGTATATGGATATTTTGAAACCTGTTAAAAATGGTTTAATGCTTCTCAAATATTTACAAAGTAGATTTAAATGGTGCGTTGTTTTAAGATCATGCTATGCTTCTAGCATAGCTACCAGATTGCTTGTAACTGTTTGCACTTATTTTACATTTTCTAAATTGCCTCTATATTTGCTATGTATTAGAAGAAAAAGGCACCAAAATAAAACCATCCTTTGTGGGTAAACTAGGAAACAAAATAATTGAAGTAGGAAGTAAAAGCATTCCAGTATCTATTTTAGGAAAGAATTCAGAGCTTGAAACAAAGTATAGAATTCATGGCTGACCTGCAGAAGACCAGGAAGGAAAAAGACAAGATGGAACAGCAGCCAAATGGGGAAGATGAAACTGGTCTGGGGAAAGACAAAGGAGAATCCGCGGACAGTGACACCAAAGTATTCAAAACACCTAACAAAGAACACAAAAAGTGAAGTATTGTCTCAATAACGATTAAAGGTTACATAGTTCTTATGCTACTGAAACAAAATGAATTTTAGCATCAGTGGAGTTGGGTTTATGTCTTTCTGATACTGCCTATGCAGTAGAAGTTGTTCATCTCAAAGGAACAACATCTCTGTCAAGCATCCTAGTCTAGCCAAAAAAATATATAGTTAGAATCATTTTAGAGGATGCCAACATTTCTCATGGGGATAACCCTATACCTATTTATCAAGTCCATTCCTTGTTTTCTACTTCAGATTTGAAAATGCTGCTACTAAAATTCAGAGTAGCTACTGCTTTGTTTTAGCAAAAATACCATTCTTAATTCTGTGGCATCGAGGATGTGAAATCTAGCATATGCCAAACTAGGACAGCAGTATAGCTAAAGCAAGCTCTATACAAGAAATTCTTCAGGTACTAACTTAAACTCTCCACAGACCATATTAAAAGGGTTTTTGTTTTTTTTTTTTTTAATCTTTCAGTTGTTTTGCCTACAAAAGCATTTTGCATAGTTGGATATAAAAATATATCTATCATATCCTTGTCTGATAACTAAGCCATTCAGTATCTTTTAAGTCAGATTCTAGTAACTAAAATACATGGCCTTTCTTCACAGGAAGGACAAAGATCTACCTGAAGACAAATTAAGAAATAACAGTTTGGAAAGGGAACAAGAACAGATTGATCGCATTGTTAGGGAATCTGGAGGAAAGTTAACAAGACGACTTGCAAATAGCCAGGTAAATCTTTTTTGGGAAACTCAATTCATTCTTTCGTGAAACGAGCTTAGTTGGCATCTTATATCACTTGAGAGTCCAGTTTGTTACAGTTTACACCTTTTTACACATCACAGGTAATTTGTGTAATATCTTAAGCTGATAAAAAGAACAGTATTTCAGTTGAATGCTTTCATCAGCAAAAGAAGTTTTTGGAAATCGCAAATAAATTCATAGGAAAGACGAATAGTGGCAACTTCAAGAATCTATCTTCAATCTGACATGCAAAAAACTCACCTGCAAGGGTGGAACACCCTTGTATTTGATCAAAGAAATACAGTTTGATAAACTAAGTCCATTTCATTTTCTACCAAGAAATGTATTATCTCATAGTCCCTAGAAATATTATTTATCTTAATTCTTTAATTGCTTATGCCTACACCAATACTTGTGAAAATAAGTTAGAGCAGCAATATGACTGCTCTTTCCAAATCCTTTTCTATTTATTACCTGTGAAATAATTGCATTTGGCATTTTTATTAGTTTAAGAACTCTGAGTTTCAAATAGTATGTACATTAAATAGTCTAATCTTCTTTCAGTGTGAATTTGAAAGAAGAAAACCAGATGGCACAACAACTCTGGGCCTTCTTAATCCAGTTGACCTTAACATAAGCGGTAAGTTGGCAGGGCCCAGGTCACCAGCCACTGTCACACTTTCACTTACCTGCTCTTTTGTGTTTTTGCTGGGGCAGATCAGCAACTGATCCAAGCACTTCTTTGTAATCTGATTAAGAAGAGGATTTAAAAAGCTGCAGTTGAGGGAACAGATAGAACAGGACTATAGTGGGTGCTGGTTTTTAGTTCTCCTTGTTGTGTCAGCTGCTTGTGGGAGGTACAGGAGAAAGCTGCTGCCCTGGGAGAGGGCTGCCTGCTGTGCGTTCAGGCACCTTAACCTCATTCATACGCAGACTAGCGTGTTTGCTCACCCAAAGAGTAACAAACCTAGAAGTGGGAACAGTGAGAACTGTCTAGGTGCCCCTTTATTTTGTCATGTCAGTGCTACTAGCTAGAGACAGAGGCTTGAGCACTTAATTGCCACCTTGTTACAGAGTTGGACTGGCCAATCTTAGAGTAGACAGAAACCAAGCTGAAAAACTGATTGATAAATCAGTTCCTTTTTCCCTTCTTTGGGCAGCAATAAATCTTGTCAAGAATAAGGACAGTCCTGTCCTTCAGAGTTAGATCCTCTACATGCAAAACTACATGCAATCTTTAGTATGCAACTGCATATATGATAAAGCATTTTGAGAGTAGTTGTAATGAATAAGGTTGGACATCTTTCATACTGCTCGACTATGGCTTTGTTTTGTATTTTGTTGCAGAACCAGGTTACTGCCCTGTAAAGCTGGGTATGACAGCAGGAAGACTTCAGTCAGGAGTTAATACATTACAAGGTTTCAAAGAAGATAAAAGAAACAAAGTTACTCCAGGCAAGTGCTGAATATTTTTTTACTCTAAATCTTTTTCCTTACAAGACATTCTGCTTATGGTCTCATTACCACCACACAAACAGCCTAGAACCTGTTTTTTAAATGATAAAAATGTATTATTTCTCTTGCATATATTTATCACCAAACTAAACAGCACATCACAAAACTTAGCTGAATTTGCACATACAAAGGAGAAACGTATTTAATAAAGTGGTAATCTATAATGGAACGTATGGAAACTACATCAGCTAGACAAAAGGATTTTTCAAGCTTAGAAAGATCATAGCTGGCAGCCAAAAACCTGTTAGTAGCACTGAAATTAATTTTCATATTATGTTAAAGCATAAAATACTATTAACAAAACATGTAAATAAAATGTCTTTGAAATAGATGTTAATTATATCTTTTAAGTTCAACTATACTCCTAAAAAGTTCCTTTTTTGGGACTATTTTACAATGCATTCTTATTTTCATTTAATGTCACTGGGAGATAGTAATTAGTACTGTTGTTATCCATCAGTGATGTACTTGAATTATGGACCTTATAGTTCCTATGCTCCAACATATGACTCTACATTTGCCAACATCAGTAAAGACGATTCAGATCTAATTTATTCAACATATGGGGAAGACTCTAATCAAGGATCTTTCAGGTAAGCAATTAGGATACATGCAGTAGCTTTCATGAACAGAAGCCGTTATATTCAAGCCAGAGCATTTGCTGCTGAATAATGACAGGCTTATCAGTTTGCTAGTCATTAATGCAAGTCATTAATAAGACAATATGCCAGGACTAACATCTGTACATCTTGTTTTGACTTCACTTAGCAAAAATATTTTCCCGTTGAACATTTGATTAGAAAGTTATCCTAATTATCTTTTAATCTTCTAGTATTCATGAATTTTTGATGAAATCTCAAGATTATCCTTTTGTAATGGCTGATAGTTTGCTTGATGTTCTAACGAAAGGAGGACATTCTAGATCTCTCAGAGAATTAGAAACGGTAAGAATGAATTTATGAATTTTCTGATGTTTATGTTTAGCACACAGCTGTAAAGCTGGAGAAAGATGATACTGTTCTTATATATGCACTGCCTTTTAATTTGTAAACTTGGCAGTAAAGACTAACTTGCTAATTACCGAGAAAATTAACATTACTGTAGCTTGACAAAGTTGTATGTCTGCCCTCTATCTACTTTCCCATACACATTAGCACTGGCTCCCATTCCAGTTAGTAAGAAAATACAGCAATGTCTGGACTTGAATTGGACATGAATGTAAAGTATTGAAAGAAACAGTACATTAGCTAATTAATAGTGGAACTGTTTCCTGGGTTAAAGATCAGCCTTTGGCCTTTGATTAGTAGTCAACTCTTGTCTAGAACCCAACATTGCCTTTCAGCTTCAATCATGCTTGTAATCATGCAGATAAATTATTTTTGAAACAGACCATGCCAGCAGCTAATCAGCGTCTTTCTTCCTTTACTCTTCTCCCCCAGTAAATAATCTCTGTGGTGAAATCACTGCAGAAAAACATGGAAACATTTGCAAAAGGAATTAAAAAAAATGTGTGCTATAAAAATGTATGCATTTTAGTGATTGTATAATCTATTCTCCAATAGCTCAATAATACCCCCTAAAAATAGCAGTGTTGTAACTTGCTTTCCAAAGAAAACTTGTCACGCTATAAAACTTACTTTGATTTAAATGGTATTATAGGAGTTTTCTTTGAATTTAACAATAAGATTAATTTTAAAATCTTCTCAATCCAGCCACTGGAGGAAGGTGAAGACTCACCTGAAAGAAGTGATGTAACAAGAGATGCGAAGGTAATTTTTTTTTTTGTATCAATTAAAAAAATAGGTAGCTTTACTATCTTTTACCATGAACTTATCAATATAAAATACCACACAATAGCTGGTGGGGACACAGTATCCTTGGAGCATTTTCTCAAATAGTTTGTGTCACTGTAGATATACTGTATTGTCACTAAAACCATTCCCAACAAACCTTCCTCAGCTGGAAAGAGAGGAAGAGCTTTCAAGTGAAAGGACTGTTCTCCTGAAACTTTAATCCTTACAGTGTCCAGGTTTTGTCCTTTGGCCTTCTTTGTCATGGAAAAATTCTGGTTTGGGTGAGCAGAAGGAATTACTTAATTAGGATGCTGGTCTCAACTTAACTACATTTTATGGGCACGTTCCCAGCACTTTGGACAGATGCCCCTTTTATTTGAACATGTCCTAGGATAGTAAACTGAGTAAGTTTCATGGCATATCTTTCAACTTTCCAGCTGTACACCAATTTCTAATTGCCTAAAGCAATTTTACTGTTTCAAAACTGATCAAATATTATCTCAGTTGTATTCTGCTGAGTGAGTTTGGTTTGTTTTAGATAGTGGAAATGGATATGGCTAGCAGGCTGGATGCTGCTAGTAATGACAGGCTTACAGCACTGAAAGCGGTCACAAACTTCGGCATGCCCATGGAAGAGTTTGAGTCTGAGGGTGAGTTTTCTTCCTACCTCAGATTTTTTGATCTCACTCCCTTGGCATATTCAGCCTGACCCTGTGATCATATGAGTAACTACACTCTCTTATTATTAGGACTTTTTTTTTTTTTTTCCTCTTGTGTTAAACAGAGGCTGAAATCTTCCAGAGGAAACTTGATGAAACAACAAAGCTTCTGAGAGAACTCCAAGATGCTCAAAATGAACGACTAAGTACAAAACCTCCCCCTAATATGATTTGTCTTCTTGCTCCATCTTACAGAGAGATGCACTTGGGTAAGCATTACTTTTTTTTTGCTTTGAAGAGTTGATCAATGGTGAACATTTAATAAATTATTGTGAACCAAGGTGACAGTCCCTAAGAATGCGTTTGTTAGTTATAGTATATATGTTTACAGGTGGAGGGCTTGTTTGAACAATTTTGATGCACATTTACCAGATGAACATATTCACTTTTATCTTTTTAGCGGAGAGAGTAACAAATAATCTGAAAGAACTTGCACAGCAAGTGACTCCAGGTGATATTGTTAGTACATATGGGATCCGGAAAGCAATGGGAATTTCAGTTCCTTTACCTGATACAGAAGACAGCTGGGTAGATTTAACAGATGGTGAGTATACAAATGCATTGCAGCAATGGTCCAGCTCAAACAGACGCGCATCTGCAAATTGTTAGATTGTTTCGTGGTAGAATTTGCATTACTTCAGTCCCAACTGCCATTTACTTTTCCTTTTCTAAAATTCTGGTCTTACGAAAAGTTGTGATTCTTGATCTCAGGCCAAAATTAATCTCTCAGATGTATGGAACTGGCTCTCAGCTATGTAGTTATTTTATCATTCAATCATTCATAGTGACATTTTAGCCTTTGCACAGTTTTTATGGTTGAAAATAAAAGATGAAGAACCTACTAAGGGATACAAAGCTGAAACAAATTAAAATTATCAAATTATAATAAATTTTGAAATAGCATACATAAATTCATTGTACAAGCTTAATTTTGTACTTGCATATGTAAAATACTTCATAGTGAAAGAAATGGTCAGATTTAAACCTGCTTCTCTCGGACTTTGTCCCAAAAAATCAACTTGGTTTTCTAGCATTGCTAAGTTTCCGAGCTTGGCAATCAATTAAATTCCAGCTTTTCCATTCAGAGTGATTCTGTTCCTCACTGTTGGTACAGGAGGACAGCTTTCTTCCATAAGCTGCTGTTAGCTCACCTCTCTTGCTTACTTGAGCCAGCTGTAGTGCTCTGTAAACTGACTGAATCAGTTCAACTCCTTTATCTGGCAAAACCCTGTTCTTCCTAGAATAAGGAATCAGTTCAGTCAGATTTAGGTGCCAGAACAGGATCTCCCCCTTGTGGCAGTGGCTTATTAGGCCACTTTAATTATCCAAGTGTACCCAGAGATTGTGTTAGTCTTCACTTTTTAAAGAAGATAAAAACTTAGCTTCAAGAAAGCTACACACAACACACAACAAATTTAAATGCTCTACAGTTCATAGAAACTTTCATACCATCAAAAGATGGTATTTAATTCAGAGAGCACAACTCCTTCAGAAGTTTACATCTCCAGAAATTTTAACTAAAAAATTTCTTTTTCATAGCAATGTGCAAGAGAGGTTATTTAACAAAAACAGACCAGATAAAATTATTTTCTTGAAAAGTTGTGTAAAATGAGTTTAACACAGGACTATCTACACAAATAGCAAGGATTTGAGGAGAAGTATTGCACCGTGTGTGTACTTTTGCTGAAGACTATCAGATTTGCTGATTGATGAAGCCTCTCCTGTAATTTTTCAGACTTCCAGGAACCTAAGAAGACTGTCACCATCACTGAAAATGAATGTGGCCCAGTTACAGTCTAAAGCTTCAGTTAAGTTTACTGATGTTTGTTTGATTCTATTTAAGAACCAGATAAATGCTCTTCAAGTGTACTCACTGAGCATGTGTATATTGCGTGTGACGGAAACTACTTTTGTTTATTAAATTTTGGAACTGATGCCCTTTTTATTTTGTATTAGAATTACTTCTGCTACATAAATGTACTAAATTATTCTTTCAACGTTAGTAATTTCTTTACGGGAATTCTACAGCATTTAAGTTTTCCTTGCATTCTCTGGAAAACTCAAAAGCATAAGTGAAAAGGTCACTATGTAATAAGGTACAGGGATTCAACAAAAGTTGCAGAAGTCATGTGTACTGTGTACCCATATCTGCATGGGGGCAGAGAAAACATTAATATCTGAACATGCAAGTTTCTAAAATAAAGGTTTAGATTTTATGATTGCTGCTGGCACATAAAAATTCCACACTTAGGTAGCAATACAAAATTGGGTTGAAGATACCTAGAAAGCTCTCTTGCTTGTTTGAAGGTGTTATTAGACACTATCTGAATAATGCTGTTAGGTTTGCGTATTAGAAAGAAATAACATACTTGAATTCCAGTAGTAACAGTCAGCTCAAAAAAGGAGACCGACAGCATAGTACCAGGCAGAAGAATGCAAGCAGCACTGCAGTATTCGAGGGGAGGCCCCTTGTACAAGCAGCCTTTTGTCTATGCCATAGTCAGTAACCTTCTCGTAACTCTAATTTTTAGCCCCGTTCTGCTGTAAGACACTGTGCTGTACATAAGTTCTGCTACAGCCCCCTCTCCGTTTTTAGTGTTATTTACCCATTTCAGGGGTTCACTAGCATCTTGCTCTCTATCAGGAATGATGGGTTACTTGTTCAGCTCCATCCAATTAGCAATTTATAAAGTGCTTAAGCGAGGAAAGTGACACAAACCTGAGACAAAGAGGTAGACGAAAGGTAAGGCAGAGTAGCGAGTTCCACCCTCCAGGTCTTTTGTCCATCGTCTTCCTTAGACGCCCCTCCCCTCCTCCCTCCCTCTCAAAAGGGCAGTGTAAAAGGGCTTATTTGATTCTGTTTATAAACCTTGGTGATTCTTATAATTGAAATTCATTTTTAAAGAGATTGAATTGTCAGACTGAACTTTTCCTCCATGTTTTCAATTGTCCCAGAATCCTTTTTTTTTTTTTGGTAATAAAACACTCAGAAATTTCCCAAAAATTCATTGTTGAGGGCAGCTCATTACTTTGAAATACACCAGGGAAAGAATTCTTCCATTAATACTTAAATCATTTTCATACTATATGCGAAGACAAGATGCAAAACAGTGCCAGGCACATCATTACCAGCTCAGTCTAGGGCATTGCATTTCCAGTCACTTACCTTTGCTGTAGCACAGTAGAAAGCCAAAGTAAAAGATGACTCAACTGCATTACAGAAAATTGAGTGCTGAAACTATATTTTAGCTGCTGACTGTAAGTACATCACTTTACATATTTTCCATTTAAATCAAGTTTACTTTGCGAGGAAAACAATCTCATTAACTGTATAAAGGTCTAAGAAATATCATGCCCCCTGTTTGTGGGAATATATCAAACACTTCAGAATAACCACAAAACAAACCAATTGCATAAACTTGTTTTTATTTAATGGTAAAACAAAAGTTTGTTCTTTAAAATAGATTAATTCAAGATGCTATTAGCTTTTCAAATTAGATACAGTGCCACTTTTTTTTTTAGTTCAGGAAAACAGTAATGCTATAAAAAGGATTTTTAAACAAGATTGAAGAAATAATTTTAATTTCCACAATACTCTTGAGAAAGGACTGTTAAAAATATTTAAATATAATTACCTCTTACACTGAACTTTTTCTATGGTTGAATATTATGCAATTCCAGTTCTGATGGGAAATTAAAAAGTCATCGTCAGATACAGCCCCTTTTCCTTGGTCTTCCTGACCTTACACAGACTATCTAGCCTTTTGTCCAGCCTAGGTCCTTTTAAAATTGCAATGAAAAATCATGTCATCCAGTTGAAAAGCTATTGCTCTTTATACCACTTCTGTAAATGAGGTTAAGTTACGGCCAAGCGACTTACTAGCCTGACAGGCAACATAATGTAAACAAAAGCATTTCCAAATGCTGTTACGTACAGTTAACTTTCTTTCACAGATAACTTATGTCTACAGTCTACTACTACAGTGAACAGAAACACTTCAGAGCCTGCATAGTGCACTCTTCAGAGTAGGTTAGTGAAGCCAGGAGTCACTCTACCTCCCATACGGTGTCAACAGCAGCCGCCTCTGAGGAGCTGTTGACTCAGGCATGGTCCATACAAAACAATAAATAAATATCTCGGAGCAAATGCTTGATGAGCATCTGCTGTTACAGAGAGACAACACACAAGAGCGGTAGAAGCTGTTTGAAAGTTTACTCAACTACAACACTGACCTGATACTGACACCAAGGACGAAAGACACCAAGTATTAAACTTTCTTCTTCAGCAGAGTCCACACATGAACCAGACAACCTCAAACCAAGGTTTTCTACCATGATATTTTCTGTTGGAGACTATTACGAACACAGTTTTGACCTACCAAACTGGCAAAGGCCATAATCCTTTGTCACAGTTAAACAATATTTAGATTTGTTCCTGTTTTGAAACATAGTCACTTTGTCTTCTAAAGAAATTACACAGTAATTAGAAAGCTGCAGTGATGCATACGACTGCTTGTTAAACATTGTTCCAGTATGGTTTAGTACTGAACCCCAAAATATTAATAAGTGATGCTTTGTAGAAAAGTAAGGCTTGACAGAACAGATGTTGAACTCGCATTACAGCTCACTGTGCCGCCTCTTCATACCCCATGTTGCATGTAAGGGGGAAAATCCTTAATTATTACATATATTTGGGCACAAGATGTTACCCTTGCAAAATACTATAATCTCCACCAACAGAAAGTAGATTGAGTGCAGTAAGTGGAAAATTGCCTATTTAGAAATTAGCAAAAGCCAGTAAAAAAAAAAAAAAAAAAAGACTTCACACACTAAACTATCTTTACAGTAAGTCAATGCTTGCAAATGCTCTGGAGCCCCCTTTGAGCCCCAAGGCGCTGCTGAGACGTTTCCGTTGCGCACGTTTGTCCGCGCATCCTTTCGCAATCTTCAGCACTTGATTGTTTCATGCCCTGTGCTGCCTTTAGAAGGCGTCCAGCCAGGGCTGGGCAGATGGAAGAAACAAAACCAGAAGCAAGCACCTCAGCTGCAGTTCTGTCTGCTGCTGTCTCTACTAGTAGCCTGTTAGTTCTGCTCTTCATTCTTCAGTTTCAGAACAATTCAAAACAGATTTTCTTCTTCTACAACTGCCTTCAAGCAAGCAGTGATCACGCAGCATCCCCACCAGGACGTCAGCGGTATCAGAGCCTCTGCAGCCAAGCGGGCAGGATCACCTGCAGGTGCCCAGTGCACCTTGAGATCAGGTACAATGTTTGACAAAGTCAGAAGGTTAAAGATCCCTTTTCTCTGCCAGTGTACAAAAATCTGCATGCAGCTGCTAAATACACAGGCACAAAGGAGAGCAGGTATTACAATGTAAATACTTTGAGCTAGGTGAAAGTTACTTCCGAGAAGCTGCAAGTGAGGAATACATTTGTGTAATACAAGGTACTGCTACAAAGAAGGCTAAAGTACTGAAAAAGTGGTCCAATACTGTGCATTTTTTTTCTCCCAGAGGAGCTCAGCACAACTGAGCTGCGGTACGTTCGCATTTCCTTGCATTCCTCTTCCCGTGACTGAGCAGTCTTCTGCCACGAAGCCTGTTGAGCACTAAGAGCAGGGCGTGCAGTACCCAGTGTATCCTCTCGGGTCTGCAGCAGATACAACACTGATGCACCAAGGAAGGAAGTAGGGAATGTTTCAATACAGTTATTAATTGTGCAGTGCATCCACACAGATTGTTACTGGTGCTGCTGGACTCCCACAGTGCAGGTAAGGAAAGGAACCTGAAAATGCTTCAGTTCCAGCTAAATCCTCAAAATATTTCAGGGAAAGGTAGTCCTGTCCACAAGGTGGTTTTGTGTCTCCTAGGAAATTTTCAACTTCTTTCAAAACATATCTTTCTCCTATTTTGGGATGTATGAATAGCGTGTCTATGTTTTTAGAATAATCTCCTTCACATAAGGAGGGAAATTCTAAGTCTTCACAGAAGCAAGACAGTTCTAAGTCTACTTTGATGAACTCAGTCATATTGGTCAGTTCAGTCCAATACCTTGGAATTTGGCTGTCTCGGTGCACACAAAGTAAGTCCTTAGTTCTCCTTTGCCTTTGACATTAATGAGTCCCCTACATTCACATGAATATCCCAATTCCTGTAGTATTTTACTTGTTTCTTCTGTGACCTTTGGGTAAAAAGAATTAGAAACTCTTGTGAAATGCTATTATTCTTTAAAAAACAAACACATACCACACACACATGGCCAATTAGGAAAAAAAAAAAATACATGGACATTCCAAAGCTCTTGGGTGTACCTGGATTTTGCCAAGCTCTCCCGTAGTCTCCATTCTGCTGGCGACATTAACTGTGTTGCCCCAGATATCATACTGAGGTTTCCGGGCACCAATCACACCAGCAATCACTGGGCCATGATTTATCCCTGTATAAATAAAAGCACGTTTAATTACTGAAGTACAAAATCACATGATATCTAGCTTCATTATTTCATTAGAGAGAGAGAAAGAGAGAGAGAAAAAATAAAAGAGCTACAGAAGTGACTCATTCATTGCAAAATAGGAAGTCCAAGAAAAAGCTAGGGCAGAGTCCACTGCAATGCAAAATTCTTCCTTTTCTACTTTTAATATATGGAAATACATGTCTGAACAATTACAATACTGTCTTCAGCCAGCAGTTAATAGCAGGGTACCTCTCTCTGCATCCAGATCCATAGTTTTCTCCAAATTCATCCAGGTCTAATATTGCTTTTCCTTTTTCCAGTGATTTCTGATCACTAATCTCTAAGTGACATTCCTGAAAAAGTCTGGTATTCTTAAAAAGCTGGACTATCCCACAACACCTTCAGCTAGTCAGCAGCTTACAGGGATCCAAACGCAGTGTTCGGTGGTGGGAAAGGCTCCGTGGTGCTCAGCAATCCAGTGAACCCATCCAGTTGATTTCTCATTTTTACGGAACCGCAGAGGTCAAACCGCACTTACCGATGCGCAGGCGGAAGTTGTTGAAGGAGTGTCGGTTGATGCCATCCAGTTTGCTCATCAAGGCAATTCCATATTCCACCATAATCCCAATGTGAGCGTGCTGCCTCTCCTTATCCTAGGCAGACCAGAGCACATATTAATGACTGAACACCACCACACTGACTTGTATCACCCTGCTATTCCACAGGCTTTTCCAAACCAGAACTGCTAATGAATAAGGCACATGTTTTTAAGGATGAGGCCACAC